GTCTGGAGCTGCTCCTGGCTCACGGGGCTGAGGTCGACAGCCTGGACGTCAAAGCTCAGACTCCACTTTTCACAGCCGTCGCTGGCAAACACCTAGACTGTGTTGTTGCTTTATTGAAAGCTGGTGCCGACCCTAATGGCAGCCCGTATAACAACTGCTCCCCGGTGCTCACTGCGGCCAGAGAGGGTGACGTGGACATCCTGAGAGAGCTCCTGCAACACAGAGCCGATGTAGACGTCAAGCCCAAGATCCCAGACTGGGCCTCAAACGCCACGGCCTGCAGAGGGCCACTCTACATTTCAGCTTGTTACGGCCATCTGGAGTGCTTCAAACTGTTACTGCAGCATGGAGCGAACCCGGACTACAACTGTACTGAAGAAAAGATGCTGAGCCGGATCAAGCAGCCTAAAACTGTGCTGGAGATGTGTCTCAGATACGGCTGCGGGCCACAATACATCCAGCTGCTCGTAGACTTTGGAGCAAACGTCTATCAGTCCACGGTAATTGCAGATAAAACAACCAGACAGAATGAAGCAGTGCTGCTTCTGCTCAAAGAGAGAGGTAAGTCAGTAAAACATTTGTTGTTCACCAGAAATTATTTTTTACACTCCATCTGCACTTAAATCTGCTGACGTTAATGTGTGTGTAAGGCGAGGTTTAGGTTTAGTGCATGGGCGTAACTTGCGGGGAGGCAAAAAAAATTAAATAAATACATATATATATACATATTTTCAGATCCAAAATAAATCAATATAAAGTATAATCAATAAAGTAATTTAATAGACTTTAAATTGTTAATATCTATTATTTTAATATCCACCACCATGTGATGCTCCTGGACACATCATGAAAAATTTGAAAAATAAATAAAAAATAATACTTTCCCTCAATCTCATGTGTGTATTGAAGCTGAATCTGCTTTGGTAGCTTAACTGACAGCTGTGTGGATGTTTGACTTTCAGTGAGCTGGAAAGATAAGGCTCATAACTAGGTAGAACACTGCATTTTAATCATTTGAAAATGTTATGGTACGTTTTGGTGCCGGAGGTATACAGTACGTAATGATGCAGTGTTCGAAAATAATATAACAGCCAATTGTTTAGCAACAAACAAACAATCGATACTAAATTGAACAGGGTTCGCCTCATTAAATCTTCACGTGTTTTGTACGGCATTGATGTTTTCCAGTAAACCCCTCATTCCTCCCAGCATAAATGTCAAGCTACGCTCATGGATTAGGGTGAAACAGTTATGTTGCATTTAGGATGTAGTAGCTTAGTATGAAAACCACTCAGTGTGTGAGAGGTTCTCACAGGGTTGTGTGTGTTTTTGTGTGTGTGTGTGTGTGTGTGTGTGTGTGTGTGTGTGTGTGTGTCTGCTTTACTTTCATGCTGTCATTCGTTCCTATGTAACTGTAACATCAAATCCTCTCTATACGCAGTTTGTCCAAAAACACTGATGTCTCAGGCTCGACTTTCTTTATGGAAGTTCCTTCCCATGGAAAACAAAATGTGCTGCATAGATTGTCTGGATATTCCCAAAATACTGAAGGACTATTTGAATCATGTATCCTGATATTCCTACCTTTAATAAAATATGAGTTTGTGGATAATGCAACAATGGAGTAGGTTATGTTCTTCTTTTGTTGGTGTAGAGTAAATTAATGTGAAAGATAAACTCTGCCCTCTAATGGTTGAAATGATTACAAGGTTTGCAGCTGAACTGTCTTCTTGTGGACCTTCGACAAGATGTTTATTTGAATAATATAATACTTCAAGATGTGAAGGGGAATTCGACCTCCAGCGATGGCTATAAATAATGCTTAAACATCACTTCAGATACTTTGTTCATTCATTTTGTCCGATAACAATCGTTTACTACATGATTTGCATCTGTTGCATCTGGATATAAAAAAACTTTTGTCACACTAATCAACTCTTAATTATATTTTCCACAATTCACATTGTTTCAGGGCAGCTTTTTAGAAATTCATTATGTTGATGTTCATTCATGGTAATGTTTTTTAATGCGTTTAATGCCAGTCCACATTGAACAGTTTAGAGCTGGGAGACAGGATAGTTTACCTTTGACTGAACTTCGGTGTTATATAGTAATATGAGATCTGTAAGATTTTGTAACAATTTGGCGTAGTGACAACCTAATCACTATATGCACTGTATACAACTCTTATGCAATGCATCAAAAATGCAAAAGCTACTTAGCTCAAAAATCGGGCATAACACCTCAGCATAAGTCTCAGTACTGTTTTACAGTAGTGGTCATAGTTTACCTTATCTACTCTAGTTTAATCAGTTGCTTGTTAAATACCCTGCTGTTCCTCTCAAATGAGTTATGTAAACCTGCTATCAATTCACTTTGCTTTGTGTTTCTGCCATATGTCTGCACACTTACTGTATTGTAATGTATCATGTGTTTTATTATCTTTTGTCATTGAAAAAAAAATGCAAGTATCCTTTGTTTTCTGAGAGAGAGATGTACATGTTTGCAGTTAAACATTCATTTTGGATTGATGTAATTTTGTAGTGTACAATAAACAATGCTGTTTTATAAGAGAAGTGGCATACGATTTTGTGTCAGGTAGGATGCAAAATAATTTCAGCACTTCATTTCTATTTTAATATTCTCAAACATTGATTGAATTGCTATCAGACTTTTATGACAGTCACTGAGTTCAAGGGCCATGATGTAATTTAATGTGTTGACAAGGCACATGTGAATGTGAGGCATGGGGGTCCCATATAAGAACATCTCTGGGAATAGTTTGGTGTCAAAGAAATCCAATGGCCTGCTGAAGCCCAAACTCACAGAATACCCTTGGGAAGATCGTCTGACATTACTGCACTTGTTTCTAGTTTCTGCTTCCATGTTCCAATATCTAGTGTAAAGACTTTCCTGAAAAGTGGACGCTGTTACAGAAGCAGAAGTGTTCAATAACAGGTTGACTGCTGGTAAATAATTTCTACATAGACATCACACAGGGCTATTATAATTTTGGAACAGAAAATGACCCTCCTCACAAAATTAGATGAATTCTGTAGAATGTCATTGAATGGTGTTGCATTCAGTTATTTTGCCTTCAGTGGAATCACTGGAATTTTTTATTATAATTTTTTTTACAGTTTATTTTTCATTCTTTGGAGAACTTTGTCTGTGTAGTAGCATTATTGGTTTAGCCACATGGATGATGCTGTATTTCCGATTTAATACCACAGACAAACGACAGTGTAGGTGATGGTAGGCATTCTTGGCCCTGGTTTAGTAAGATTAAGACATAATTAAGACATAATTATAGCTACTGATGTGTACCCGAAGCCGAATACCTACCGAATAATAGGAAAAGACACTATTGGTGTTTGCTGGATAACAGGTGAGCCAGAGGACATCACAATATTATACATAAACTTCTTAAATAACTACACTATAACGAGTGTGTCAAGTGAATGAGAGTAAACTCTATGAACGAAATGAGTGCATATCAAACGTATTTATTTAACGTTTAGTTTTATTAGTGTTTTATTTAGAAATCATTTAAAGAAATGCTATTAACATAATAAAAAAGCATATTGTTTTTGTCGGTTACAAGGCATATTTGTTACACGGGAACAGCCTTTCGTTTAAAATGCACTTCTCGTGTAATCCGATAGCCTTCCTGTTTAAGCCCCGCCTACTTCCGGTTTAAATAAATAAAATACGGATCCATTCAGAATAACTAAACCACTGACCAGCGCGTAATCTAAAACACCTTCAGCCGGCATTCACTGTAAAACACTCGTGCTTTTAAGCCAAATACACACTGAAAAGAATTCTGGACGCGAGTCACTATCCTCTCCTCCATCTCTGATGAAATCGTCCGTGTTATCTCTGCATTAGTGCTGTTTTGAACTTATTACTAATGCATTTGCTTGAACTTTCCATAAGTTTACCGGTTTCAAATGACCTCCTGGTAGTGGGCTTTATATAGTGTCATTTCTAATCACCTAGACACTGACGCTTTGACTCAGTACCGGCAACACATCACATCAGAAATACTGTGCCAGTACGCTAAAGACTAAAATATAGAAGTACCGGCCCACTTCAAGCACTGGGTTTACCCCCATACTACATACAAAAACTAGGTAACACTTTAGTATAGGGACCAATTCTCACTATTAACTAGTTGCTTATTAGCATGCCTATTATTAACATATTGGCTGTTTATTAGTAGCCTAAAGCAGTTATTCTGCATGACCATATTCTACATCCCTAATACCTAAACTTAAAAATTACCTTACTAATTATTAATAAGCATCAAGTTAGGAGTGCATTGAGGCAAAAGTTGTAGTTAATGGTTTGTTAGTAGTGTGAATTGAACCTTAAAATAAAGTGTGACCAAAAACAATTTTAAACATCATTAAAATGAGACACAGCTATGTTTTAGATAGCTATTTTAATGATGTTTCACTTGATCTTAATTGCACTTTGAACTTCTAAAAACGTAAATGAGTGGTTCAGATACATAGTAGTCTATGACTATCAGTCTATGGTTAGAGAGTTGGACTTGTAACCCAAAGGTCACGGGTTTGAGGTCTAGCAGAGATTGTAGGTGGGGGGAGTGAATGACCAGCACTTTCTTTCACCCTTAATACCACAACTGAGGTGAGACCCTTGAGCAAGAACCGAACCCCCAAGTGTGTGTGTGTGTGTGTTCACTACTCACTGCTGTGTTTATGCACTTGGATGGGTTAAAAGCAGAGCACAAATTCTGAGTATGGGACGCCACACGTCACTTTCACATTTATTAAATTATAATTAAATGTGAAAGTGGAAAAGTATTATTTTTTGTCTTTAATGGGACTTTAATGGACATATGAGTCTATTAAACAGAAGACGTGATTGAATGTCATCTGAATGTAAAATGATTTACAAAATAGATTTACAGTAGACACATTCATCTCCCATAGTATATGGTTTTGTTTCATCGCAGATTTTCTCAAATGAGGATAAAAATGATGCTTCCTGAGCTGGACACCTGACATCTTGTCTTAAAATGCGAGAGGATGGATAGCGCAACCAGCCCCGCGTCAGAGTCTGGTCTTTCCAATGGATTTGTCAATAGCGTGTTCAACGTTTCAGTTGACGAAGAGAGCAAAACTGAGATCTCATGGACTCCAGAGTGCAATTCCTCAGACTCCATTATTCCCGGTCAGACGCTCAGAAGAGAAAAACAGGAACCGGTCCGGCGCTCTAGGACGGCGGCCTTCTGGAGGATCCTGCAGCGCCACAAGACCCCCTCGGACCTGGACAGACGACCTCACTCCGTCATCCTCCCCGGTGAAGCATCCTTCTTCAAACTGTCCATCACTAACAAAGTCAGGCCCTTCAAGAAACTAAAGTCCCCATCTGTTTTTAGAGGGAAAGCTGGAAAGATTTCTGATGCCAAATTCAACACTGACCTGAAAGACGAGGCTGATGATGTGTACATGTGCAAGGACTCTCCTTCTTCAGACTTCAAGCATGTGTTTAGGAATAAAGCCAAGAGACATTCGTTCGCAGGACACACTGCAGACTTCTACTGTTCGTTTGAGGACATCGCCCCCGCTGGAATCCCAGACAACATCCAGCAGGAGACCAAAGACACCATTAGCAACCAAAACGGCTGTAAGTTGTCAGAAAGAGTCATATATACGAAGAAATCTCACCCCAGCTTCTCAAACTGCAACAATTCATCTGCAACGGAGCAGGAGGAATGCTATGTGAAGCAAAGCCTCAAGATACCTCAAAGAAGACGATGGTCCAGGGGGGGAGACGTTTTGAATTACTTGAGAAGAATTTCCCTCAAAGGAAAAGGAAGTCAGACGTTGGCAGAGAGTAGTTTTGGGTCAATGAATGCCCTGGACAAAACCATCGATTCTGACTACGGCTCGGTCAACTTTGAACTGGTCAAGGATTTGAACTCTGCACCTGAACAAACAGGCATTGATGGCAAAAGCAGCCACTTTCGAGGCCTTCTCCGATTTTTTAACACTGTGGCTGAGACTGCAATGAAATGGAGAAACTCGTCCCGCTCGTTCTCCCCCCCTGAAGGCCAGCAGTCGCCTCTTGGTTTGAGAAAGACACAGCAGTCAGGAGATCTTGTGCCTTTGACAGTCAGGAGCAGTGAGCAGAAAGCTGATACCTCAGTTCAAGGTAAACCTACGTTATCTTCTGACATGAGCAAGGCAGTCTCGCCTGTTAGTGCCATGGTGGATTGCTCTCCTCCTGTGGTGCTGAAGGCCTGGAGAACATGCCCAGACTCTCCGAGAGATAACACTTCCCTGTGTAATAACTCGGATGAATCCCAGTCTCAGCTCAGCTCAACTCACATCTCTCTAGCCACCATCGAGAGCCACCCAAGATCTGAAGAGCTAGAGCCACCAAAAGAGACACAATCTGACTTTGAAAACTCCATCCCACATCACTTATCTAGCAAAACTGTTGATGAAAACCAACATATTTGCACGGATAGGAAAAAAATGAACTGCCCGGAGGACATATTTAAGGTAATATAAGAGGACTTGAATGTCAACATGCACATTGGTTGTCACACTTACAGGCATATGTAGGTTAATCATGCATGAGACTTTAGCAATGGATGTTTATTTTCATGAGGGCAGTTTGGTCCGTGTCTGCTTTAATAGTTCTGGCGGTAGTGGCCACTCATGCAACGTAAGCAATAACATAAAGTACATCCGAGTCAATGAGGCGGAGGGAAGTTAGTGAGGGAAGGGCCTAGAAAAGTGAACCGCAGCCTAGAAATACATGGGTCAGATTAGGGAGGTAGGTGTTCCTCCGGGAACAGGGTTGAAAACGCTGCCTTAATAAAAACATAAAATAGTGATGGTGTTATATTCAGAATGGAGTGTCTATTTACATTAACTCCAGCCAGCAGTGCGTGGTTAAGCCAGACCAAATAAATAAATAAATAAATGGATTGGATTTTGCTTTTTTCACTCCACCCACCATATAGTACAAGTACGCCTTTTTTCTATGCCACTCTTCTCCATTTTCCCTTTATATTGTTTATTTTAAATAAAATTGAAGAAAACATTGGAAAAATGGAAATAAAGTGTCTAACGTGTATTTAATAGTGGTATACACTATAAAGTGTTTAACAGATATTTCACAAGCCTATAATTTAAATTGGAAGTGATGCCTTCACTTTGATGCATGCATGAACACCTGCAGTCAATACCTGCACACGCTGCAGCTCTTCTTATTGGAACATCTGATGTATTAAAGGAGTCATATGATGTTGCTAAAAATAACATTATTTTGTGTATTTGGTGTAATGAAATGTGTTTATGCAGTTTAAGGTTCAAAAAACACATTATTTTCCTCTATGCCCCGCCTTTCTGAAACGCCTCGATTTTTACAAAGCTCATCGGTCTGAAAAGCGAGGTGTGCTGTGATTGGCCAGCTATCCAGTGCGTTGTGATTGGCCGAATACTTCAAGCGTGTGACGAAAATGTTACGCCCCTTACCATACTGTGATGCAATGTCCGGCCGGAGCGACGAGACAAAAACATTAAAACCCATTATAAACGAGGCATTTGTTGCATCCAGTGGGGACATAATTATGGATTATAATGACTTATACTGTCTTTTTACGCATTGCGTTGCATCGCGCCTCGTAAACATAAAACCAGGTCTTCATTTGTGATCGGAGAAATGACAAACAACAAGCCCTACTCCATATGACCCCTTCAACAACCCTTCACATGACGAATGATGAGAAAAACACATCAAGTCAGATCTGACTGTTCAGAATGTCATGCATTAACAAAAATCTAATTTTAATCTAATTTCAAACCACCTCCTGAGGGCTTGTACAACAGGATTTCATGTTTTCATGTAACCCCACTCCACTATTGATATACTACTATAGGAGATTCTTTGGATGCAGTTGGATGTAAAATGTTGTGAATTGTTCTAAGGTTACCTGACTTAATGCAGTGATTTTCAGAGCCTCTCGCGGCCCCCAGGCCAGTCGCCTGCAGATCCTCCTCTTAAAGCTCTGCTCCAGCGGTGTCGCTCTCTGCCGCTGCCGACCACGCTGTCTGCACTGGAGCCCATTGCCCTGACACACGTGCTCACCCCTCCAGGTACAGCACAAGCCAAAACCATATCTGACATCCAGTGCAGCACATGCTGTAGCTGATCACCATTCAACAGCATGTTAAAGCTTAGAGCTAGCTTTATACTCTCAGGTTTCTCTGATAGTCCTGGTTACAGTGTCATGTTGTGGCATGAATTGTTATATAATTTCACATGAAGCACTTCGGCTCATTCTAGCGATCTGTCCTGCAGCTAAGACCATGGCTAAATCAGTCGTTCTCCGCATGAGGAACAGCAGCACAGGATCCAACAGACGCAAGCTGTTTAGACCAGGATCAGGACCACTGCATGTCAACATGGTGAGTCCCGAAACTTCATCTGACAGACTTTCACATTTTTTGGGAATAATTAATAATGTTACTGTGTGATATGAAGCAAGCAATGCAGGACAAATGAGTGGTACTGCATTAACAATTGAGTTACAACTGTTAAAGGGTTAGTTCACCGCAAAATGAAATCATCATAATTTACTGAAAAGCATGCCATTCCAAACCCATGAGATTTTCATTCATCTTTGAAACACAAATTAATATAATGAAACCTGAGAGATTTTTGTCCCCCTCTGAAAGCAAACAACCAAAACGTTGATGCTTCAAAAATGTCATTAAGATTTTATATGTAAAAATAATCCATATGAATTTTATCAAAATCTTCTGAAAATACATTTATATGATGAGCAGGTTTGATTTAAGCTTTTATTCACCTGTAAACACATACAATCTGTTCTATAATTCTTTTGAAACCCATGTTAAGCCTCACTTAGTTTCTCAAGTGTTATCTAGTTAATCTAGTGATCTGACACTATTTTAAAAGTGAAAACTTTTGAACATGTTTTTCACTTCAACATAATGCTTTAGATCACTAGTAGTTCTTGAAAGGTAACACTTGAGAAATTAATGATGCATTTTATGCAAAGTTTCAAAGTAATTTGCTTACGTCTTAGATGCATTTTAACATTGTGATAAGTAATTAATTGTTAATACTATTTATAATTGGTCATAGTTAATTATTAGTTCTTAATGAGTCTCATTCAGTAGTTATTGGTTGTAAGCAACGATTTGAGTCCTAAACTCATGTTCCTGAATGATTAGTTATACCTGTCAGCAAATGCCTTCTGAATTATGTTTTTTTCTTTTTCTTTTGACAGCTCTTTTGTTAAAACTACAGATCATACTTTCACATTTTTGTATCCTGCTGACAGATCGAACCCAGTGCATTCTGAGTGTTGAACCACATTCCTCTTTCACTGTTTTCTCTAGTCATGTAGCACCAATTAAAAAATAAATAAATACAAATCTACTGCCAAATTTGATTACAAACCCATCTTGTCTTCCACTGTGCTGCTATGAAATCAGCTGTGTACGTAACCTTGAGAACGCAAGAGTGGGCAAAGATATGATAGTGTAGGTAATCTGTAGATAACGCATTATGGAGAATCACATCATATAGAAAGATAAAAGTTCCCAGACTAGCCAAAAGGGCATTTACTGGCATAATATTTAAAGAAACCGGTAAGCTTTAATGAGTTAGCTAGCGTAATGTAGCTGCTTGTGATATTGTGCATATTTATTCATAAAATAGAATTCAAAAAGAACACTTTTCATCTCTTGCACACTGAGTGCGGTGGAGTAGTGTCTGGTGCTGGCATCCATCTCATTCCTAGCGGTAGATGCGTTTAAATTCTGAATGAAGGGCTGATGAGTGTTGGTTTAGCGGTGAGCTCAGACGCTGTCAGTTTAAGCTCATGTTTGCAGAGGATCGCTGTAAACCGGGAGTGAAATCTCACCCTCACAGTTAATTTGGCATCACTATTAAAATTTTTTCCTCTCTTGCATTATGTAATGGGTATATTTAATAAATGAGTCATCGAGTCATGCAAAGCATGCTGGGAATCTGAGATTACCTTTGGTGTTGAGTGGGTCTTCATCAATCTGGTAAAAGTCTAGTTTCCATTTCACGTTCAGATTCTACACTTCTCATGCAAGACTTTGGTACTTCACTTGACGAATGCTCTCAGCAATGTAATTTGTGTAAAAAACTTTTCTTTTGCTACATAACAGCTTGTTTAATAACATCTTTTACAAATTAGACACTAATTTGATCAATTGGTACCACATTCATAAAGTGTCATATCTTTTTCACTATTTAACCACATTAATGCACATGCATTTAGAGTTGCGTACCTGTTGTGTTAATCTGTTGTTGTTTAATTGTTTCCCTTCATTTTGTGTTTAGAAACTCACAGACTCAGTAAGACCAGACTTACAAGTAAGAAGATTGTGTCAAGTCACGACAATGATGTGATTATAATGTTTGAGATCGACAAACAGTTAATGGTGATTTAATTGCAGTGGCAGGTGCATAATGTATCACCATTGGCTTTCATAATGATGAAAATATGCATAATTCATGATCAATTGCAATTAGTTTGCGAGACTGCACACTAGCAGACGTTCTAAAGCAAGGGTTCATTGCTCTGTTTGTGGACGTGGAACTATTCCGTGACCCAGTGTTGTTGAGGAATATATTATTCATGCTGATGATGGGTTGTTATTGAGGAGAATCAGACTCATCAGACTAGACAAGTCATTCGTTTGTCGTCCACCAGTGCTGCAGCTGTGTGAGGGACTTTCTGGTTAATTAACAGAGTTTCGTATAGGAACAGAAACATTTTCTCATTCTCATTTGGATGCAGGATAGAGCTGATGATCACTGAGCTCAATATGGCATTCAACATTTCATCTAAACTGGTCAACTTTCTCCAAAGAAATTTTAAGAGAAACATTTGAGACAAAGATACTTAATGTGACATGCCTGAACACTCCAAGATGTTAGAGGATATTCAGCTTCTTTTATCATGGCCTCTGTTGCAATGGTGCAATGGTCTCGTTTGATAGAGTGGACTTAAAGGTGAAGTGAGAAGAAGTGAGCAGCTGGGTGCTGTTACGCCCGAGCTCTCAGACAGGAAGAATCATTGTTTTCTTATGTTCGTCAACATTTTGTCCCATCTGCTGTTGTTTCCTCAAAATGTATGCCTACATGACTAAAGGCCCGTTCACACCAAGAGCGTTAACTATAAATAGAACTATATTAGTGTCCACAACGATGTATGATATGGTTCTGTTGCTGCAGTTTTGTCGTCTGCCGCTTTAAATGCTTGAGCTCTTTAAAGTCAGGTGGGTTTGTCATTATCGTTTTATTTGTGGTGTGGACTTCTCTATTCTCATAGAATTTGAACAATGATTAAAAACAGTCAGACAGGAGCCTCAGTATCAATCGTCCCATCACTACGTAAAAATTTTGTATCGTATCAAAATTTTGTTTGGATATGGTTTAGTGTGTTCGCAGATATTTCTTGAGACAACGCCATGTTTACAGAATATTTTTTTAGGAAAAAAAAATATTGGATAGGGAAAGCTCTGGCTTCGTGTGGATGTGGCCTCAGTTTGGACATTTTCCCTGTTGTGTTGATTGTCATAGTTGATTTGATTTCATCATTCAGGTGATCCATGTTTGCTCATGTATTTAAGTTGCTCTGTGTCTGTTATTATTATTGCACACCCCCACATATCTACGTCACGATGTGGGAAGATTTGCATAAATGTTATTTGCATATATTTGCATAGATTTGCACAAATGTTCACGCAAAGAAAGAAGGCGTAACTTTTATTCTCGCTGTAGTATTGTTGTTGCCGCCGCCGCCATGTAGTGAAGGCGCTGTGTTTCGTTGTGAAAGCGAAACTACTTTGTTTGGTCTTCCAAAAGAGGACGATATCTGCTTCGTCATGCCTGGAGCTGATCCGTGCTGGTCGCTGAGGAAATACATCAACTTCGCGCTGTGGATCACCGGATTGGCTTTCACCGTGGACGAAGCGGAGTCCAGCCCGGGGTCGTCACATGTGGTTGCCGCAAGCCCTCCGGACGCTCCTTCGTTCCTCACTCTAGCCCCCGGCCTCTGCTCACTCTAGGCCACAGTGTGTGACGCTTTTTCGTTGTGAAAGCGAAACTACTTTGTTTGGTCTTCCAAAAGAGGACACGACTAGAAATCAGTGGTTAAGTTGTTTTTACAACACTGTTCCAGAACACTTCAACCCAATTATTCAGATGTGTGGAGCACATTTTATGGAGGACTGTTTCCTGATCCTGGTAGATTAGACTACAATGCCGGCTGTTCTGACTCACAGACTGTAAGTAAGTTTTTAATATTTTTAAAGAATTTGCCACTGATGATTCAAACGCGAGTTTTGAGCAGTGTAGAGTAGTACTTGTTGTTTGTCATTTCTCCGATCACAAATGCAGACATGGTTTTATGTTATGCTCCGGCCGGGACACGTCATCACAGTATGGTAAGGGGAGTAACATTTCCGTCACACGCTTGAGGTATTCGGCCAATCACAATGCACTGGATAGCTGGCCAATCACAGCACACCTCACTTTTCAGACCGATGAGCTTTGTAAAAATCAACGCATTTCAGAAAGGAGGAGCATAGAGGAGAAATAATAATGTACAGTATGTGGAAAATAATGTGTTTTTTGTACCTTAAACCGCATAAACACATTTCATTACACCAAATACACAAATAATGTTCTTTTTAGCAGCATCATATGATCCCTTTAAAATTCAATCTGTCTATAAACTGGCAGTTTATGGAGACACTGTTGCATGGGTCAGTGTAGAATAATGTGTGCAGCTGTGAAATCATACATAATTCTGACAAACTTTGTATTCATGAAACTATTTGGATCAGTTTGAATTTCAGATGTGACCTTTGTTGTGTAAATGTCAGGATGGGTGGAATCGAGCCTTATGGTGTCTGCGTTATGTAACCGTCTGCTCTGCATCTCAAGAGAAAAGCTCTCTCAATACATCATACTTCAGATATTCCATTAGAATTATCTCAAGACACAAATAATTGTTTGCCTTCTGCCATATTGTGTGAATACACACATTCAGTTTGCTGACAGGTATAGTTTTGTTTAAAGAAGTAAGATCAGCATAAACAGCAGCTGATGCAGGTTTTTTGGACTGTTTCTTGTCTGTGAACATCAGTTTATAAAACCCCCAGTATTCAGGCGGAAGGGCTAGAAATCTGTTGTGAATCATTGTTACCTGAAATTGGAGTATTGCATACATTTATAGTTCTAAAATGATTATGAAACGTAAAATTTACACCAACTCAGTTGAGTGCCATGAAAGGACCTTTTTTTTTCCCTGAGCGTATTAGTGGGCTAAGTAATATTATTTTTCTTTCTTTAATTTAGACCTTGTACTACGCAAAGTATGAGTTGGTTTGGACTC